CCCCAAAACCCCAAAACCCCAAAACCCCAAAACCCCAACTCACCATAACACTGTTGAACGAATTTTACTATTCGATTTATTCCTCAGCTAAAAATGGATGATTGAGGGCATCTGCAGCTGTAATACGTCACATAGGATCACACTGGATTAACTTCTCAAGAAGATCAAGGCCTACTTCGTCAAGTCCAGGGACGAATTCACTGATATCCTTTGGATCATGTTGAGGGAGCTCTTCCTTCATGCCGTCGTAAAGAGGGAGTTCATTCATTCCAATCCAATCATCAGGATCTGGAGTTCCTTTTATTCTAAATATCTTGTCAAGTTGATCTTTCTCATCTTCACCTTTAAACAGAGGGTGTCCCGAGACCATTTCAGCAAAGATTCAGCCAACACTCCACATATCGATATGTGTGGAGTATGTCTTTGACCCAAAAAGGATATCTGGAGGTCTATACCACAAAGTAACAACCTCGTGCGTATAGTTTTTAACTGGGATTCCGAAAGCCCTTGCTAAACCGAAATCAGCCAGTTTAAGGCATCCATCCTTGCTTACCAGCAAGTTCTGAGGCTTTAGGTCTCTATGCAAAACTTTCTTGCTGTGGCAATGAGCCACACCTTCAAGCATCTGTTTTAGATATGATTTAACTATAGGAATCTCTAGACCTTGGAAATCATTAGCTTTGATGATTTTATAGAGATCCTGCTCAAGGAACTCAAAGATAAGGATCAACTGGGAAGATTCCAATACAATATCTTGAAGACTAACAATATTTGGGTGCTGAAGTTCTTTCAACAAGGCTATCTCTCTGATAGCGGTTGAAGGGATCCCTTCATCCTCAGATTCCAGTTTGATATACTTCAAGGCTACTAGTTCATCTGAGTCTTTATTCCTAGCTCGTTGGACGACACCATAAGTTCCTTCCCCACACTTTTCTTCAATCTCGAACTTCGAAAGCTTGTCCATACTTTTGAAATGATTTTATTTATATAGATTCTATCATATTTTTAAGTTGTGGGGTTTTGGGGTTTTGGGGTTTTGGGGTTTTGGGG